ACCGTTATTAACTTGAGGAGGTTGCGGCACCGCTCCATTCTCGGTTCCTTGCAACCGTGCCGCCTCCAACACTTGGAAGTATGCGTATGGTCCCCAACCTACAAAAAAAAATATCAAACCTTTGATGATCAGTTCCCAATACACCTTTTCAGCGAACTGTAAATGGAATCCGCAATTCATTTCACCTTCAGTGTGATACGGTGGTGGAAAGAATTGAAGATAGCAGAACGTAGAAACCACGAGACCTGCGATTTTAGACAATGATATAAGTTTGCATGATGTTCAAAGGGAACAAAGTTATGACCTTTTCGAGTTAGAGAGTGAAAACCAAACCTAGCAAGCCTCCTGCAAAGACGTCTTGCCAATGATGCCAGTAGTCATCTACACGGGAAATACCGACAAGAGCTGCACATAGCAAAGGGAGTATGACAATGCATAGCTTTGCAACGTGACCTTTACCGTCAAATGCTTGTATCTTTCCAGATAAGTACAGCGACAGAAATCCCAGACCCGCAAAAGACCCTGCAAATACAAATCAAACCGGCAATTTACTATTTTGCTTCTCTCTAGCTCTGTTAATTAAAAACCCAAACTTTCTTTTATAAATTCGTGTAAAATGCTCAGGAAACGGTAAAAGCCTTATTCTGAAAAATAAATCAAACCCCTATTTACTTTTTTGCTTCTTTCTACTTCTGTTTAGAAAGATCAAAACTTCATGTCGGTGTAAAATGCTTAAGACAAACAAAAACTGTAGGTTGGTCTTACATGAGGTGTGTCCGCTTGGGAAGCTTTTGTGCCCTTCCCTTATGACGCTTTTATCACCATGGCATATAACATCTCCGAGGCTATCATAAACCTGAGAAAAAAGAAAAAAATTCAAGAGGCAGAACAAGATTTAAAACGCATTAGTAAAACTCATTGAGACATTTACAGCTTTTCCATCCGGAAAACAACGCCAGAAGAAGTCAGGGCGTGGTCGACCAACTGCATTCTTTATTGCATCGGTAAGTACTGCTGTCACCAGAACAGAGTATAAGAGACCTGCATATCGAAACGAAAGGCCAATTTCAATACTGATTACATATGAAAGAAGCCATTTGAAGAAAACAGTACTCTCTTTTAGAAATACTGACCTAACACTGCGTGATGAAGATCATATACATCTCTTCTACGGAAGTAGATAACGATGAAGATTACCAAAGGCAACAGCATCGCATAGACCTGCCATTTCGAGGAAATAAATGTTTTTATATTTTGAAAAATTGGATGTAGCCAATGTGAAACTTGACATGATGGAAGCTTACAGGGACAGCCCAAATCGGTACGGTGTTACTCTTTAAAGGGTAACTGAGATCAGTCATCATATCTTTCCCAACAAAACGATAAAACGGGTGGATTATAAGGAGTACGCACTCGAGAATAACAAGCAACACGAGTATGATCCAATCATGCATGTGAGTCCTTGCAAGAGTCATTCCATGGGACCTCAAAGTGTGAGCGCCTAGTTGTGCCTCTCTCATCCTGTGCTGCTTGGAGACATAAATAAGCCATTAATCAAATAATCTTCCTTTTTCTCTTAACACATAGAAGCTGCCACAGAGGTGTAAAAAACAAGAATCCAAGCAAGAAAGGTAGTGTGTGAAGGAAGATAATCGGCAATATATCGCCTTTGTGTGTTAAAATAACAAGGACTCAACATAAAATCTATTTGTAGCATAATATCGAGTACTCAACCAAAATTGAGCTTTGTATTGCAGTGTTATCCTAAATTTGATTCATCGATAACAACCAAAGTTAAGTTTTGATATGGACTAGACTCACCAAAAAAAAATGTTGGTTGCAAAGACAAATACAAACAGGGGTACCTCTTTACTATAAGATTCTATGAGTGGAATGTCAGCTGGTGAGACCCAATTATCAGCAGTTTCTGAAATCTCAGGTCCCCGGTTAGTCACAGCCTAAAATCATCCCAAGAATCAAAAACTCTTTCTGAGTAATAAACTTTTACATACTGGATAAGACAAAGAATACCACCCTAAATGCTCAAGAATCAAGATAATGGAAGAAACCATCCGAAGTGCTAAAGCCTATCAAATAATGTATTGAAGCAACTGAACCTGCCTGCATAAATGGCATAAAAGGAACAGAAGATTCCAACTAAACTTAACTGCCTCGCTTGAAGTTTCCCATCTAGCAACAAATCCACTAACTGACAATATTTCTAACGACCTAGTGATTCTACAATTCACAGCTCGTTGTTTGTTATATAAGATGGAGTTCGGCCTATCTTTGGTAAGCTAAATCTGTGTCTACCATAGCTATAACTGGTTTTCTTCTGATTTGAAAAGTCCATTCTTCTACATTAACCACCTAATTTAATAACCATTTCCATGTTCAAGCTGGAAATTAGAGTTTACAAGAAGAAGCAAACCAAAAGATATCACTTATCTGCAAGGAACTCAAACACACAGAACCACAAGAGAACCAAACAGAGAAAAATCAAATCGCATAAAAGATTATGTTCACCAAAACAAATCTGGAACCAAGAGTCACAGACTTGATAATAGGCACAATTGAGACTACTGCAGACCTAACAATCTACAATGAGATTCGAAATATAACTTTGGAAATGGAAGAAACCAAACACGACCTGAAAGTAAAAAACTTTTGAATGAAACACATCAAACATAACAGTAGAGATTTCAAGTAAAACAGACGACTTTGAAATCTTTTTCCAAAATCATTGGCAAGAATCGACAAACCTGGAAAAAAACCCCAAAATTCTGAAAACAAGGAAAAGGCATCGTATCAATTTAAAGTCCCAAAATTAGCTGAAGAGGAACAATCAAAGAGGAAAACCTTAGCTGTTGAAAAAGT